CCCCCGGCAGCCCCTTTCCCCCGGGGCAGGCGGATGCTGCAGCGGGGCAGGGGTCCCCGAGGGTGGCCGGGGGCCCGGGAGAGCGGTGGGCAGGAGCTGGTAAAAATAGCACCCAGGTGCCCTCTGCCCCAGAAGCGATTTCTGGTTCGGTAAACAGGAAATCTATTCTTAGGCCCATTCATGAGCCGCGGGCTGACGGCAGCTCCCCGCTCCGGGCTTGTTTTGTTCCTCGCTGACACAGGGGTGACGCCGAGGCGGAGGCCACCACGCAGAACCTTCCAGCCCCGCGGGCTTCCCCTCGCTCGCTCCTTCCCCTCAGCAGCACCCCGAGCTCCCCGGCTTTTCCAGGGGTGCTGGGGCTTCCCCTTTGCATGAGGTAGAGGTGAGGGCGGTTTTGGGGGGTCTCTGGAAAGCCCCGTGCTCTTCGCTTCTGGGCTCAGCCCCGTGGTGGATGGCACCCTGAGGGGCAATTGCTTTGGCAGAGCTCTCCCCCCAACATCTAGCTCCTCTCCCCCTTCCTTGATGGCATCTCTTAAGTTGGAGGAGATAAAGCCACCACGGTTTGCACTTTCTTGGGATGAGCTGAGCTGGGGAGACTGAGGAAGGAGGATGATGCTCACAGCTTTTTCCTGGCTTCCCAAGGCCCCCCAGACTGGTGATGGCTGTGGTTCGTCTTTGCTCCCCATCCTTTCCCCATCCTATTTGCAGTATCCGGCTCCAACTCACTTCCCTTCCCGCTCTCCATGGATCCATTTAGCCCGTGACACCCCTGGGCCCTGCCCGAGGCTGCCGTGCTTCTGGTGCAGGCAGAAATCCCTGCCTGCTGGGGACAGCGGGCTCCCCCAGCTCCCTGCCACGGGGCTCCCGCATCCCATGGCTCAGAAGTGGCAACTTCTGCCTGGGCAACATTTTTGGGGGAGCTAAAGAAGATGCAGAGAGAGAAACATGGGGCTGCAGCGCTGGGTGAAACAACCAGGGGCGCTCGTTGTGCTGACAGTGGAGAGGGGGATTCCCCCGTGTCACCCCAGCATCGCGGCCCTGCAGCAGCACCTGCGTGGAGCCAGCCTTGTCCCAGAGCACTTCCCCCCAGGGAACGAGTGACTGAGAGAGGCGCAAGGGTGCAAGGTGATTGTGAACAGGATGGGGTGCAGGGAAAGTCTGGGGGAGGCAGGAGTGCAGGCTGGCTCAGCGACGCAGGCTGGGGGTGTCTGTGGTTATGGGGTACCCCCACACCACGGGACTGCAGCAGTGTGAGGCCAGGAGCAGTGACAGGCTGGGAGGGGGACATCCTAAATCCAGCACTTAGGATCCCTGAGCCGGGTGAGCTGCCAGCTGGGTCTCTGCAGGGTGTCAGAGTGGGGCTGGTGACAGATAAGGGGATGGGGGGCTCCAGTGACAATCCCACGGGGCGCTCTGGAAAATACCCCCTCCCCCCCCAAAAAAAGGCTCCTTGGACCACACACCGGGGGTGCAGGTAGGGTTTATCACAGCAGTCCCAATTCCACAGATGCTTTCACAAAACCAGGCATCCCTCCTGCACCATCCACCACCGGGGCTGGGCTGGGAGCAAGGCTGAGGCATTGCTGCCCTCGGGCGGCAGCGGGCGGCACGGCACGGTGGGCCGGGGCCAGGCTGGCTGCAGGGGCACAGGGTCCCCAAAACCCCCTGGCTGTCCCTCCACCTCACGGCCCGGGTACCTCCATCGACTCTGTCCAGTGCGGAGAGCAAGAAGGGAGAGGAAGAGCCGGCTTGTCCGTGCGGTGGCAAACATGCCGCTGCCTTGCCCATTTCGTGATGAAGAACCAAAGCACGGAGAGGTCGAGGAGCTGCCCGAGGCCGGCTGCGAGGGCAGGGGGAGGTTTTATCTACCAGGCAGCCCAGGAGGTGGCCATGGCCTCATTCTGTTTCGTCACAGGAGTCCCCATCCTCGCCTTCCTCTGGGTCTGTGATCCCCGCGGCGGAGCGTGCCATGGCCCTCATCCAGCGCCGCTTCAGCTCCTCGGTGTCGGCCACGAAGGTGTAGACCTGCCGGGACTGCACCAGCTGGAAGGGGTGGCGGGAGTCGCCCTGGGGCAGGTCCCTCACCTCGTAGCCCAGCAGCGGGATGGAGGTGTGTGCTCGGACGTCCTGCCAAAAGCGGAGACAGTGGTGGGAGGCAGGGGACGGGCATGCTGGGCTGTCCCTTGCAGATGGAGCTGAGCCCGGCCTTACCTGGGGGGCCGCGTAGATGTACAGCACAAGGGGATCATCCTGCGGGATCACGAACCAGCCCCGAGTGCCCCCCTTGCCATTCTTGTCCAGCAGCTGCAGGGAACTGCACAGCAAACTCCTGCCCGATACTTCTGCGGCTCCTTTCTGCCAAAAAACCAGCAAACAAATCCCTAAATACCCTGTGTGGGAGGCAGAAAGGGCACGGAGTGAAGGTCGTTTCCTGGGGAGTTCCCTGCCTGCTCCACAAAACCCCCCCAAACCAGGGGCGGGCGAGGGTGGTCCTGGCTGCGAGGGTCCCACTGAGATGCCGTGGCAGAGTGCCCCCCGAATGCCTGGTCCCAAGGCTCAGAGCAGGAAGGAGGGGGCTTCGCGCACCCACCAGCCTCGCAATTAGCGGGCACCCTCTGATGGTGCGGGAGTGACTCCCACCCCTCCTGCTGCAGGTGTGTGGCTGGGCTGTGGCACTGGGGGTGGGGAGCGGGGTGGGTGGCAGAGCTCAGAGCAAGCGGGACAGAGGAGCAGAGCACGGGGAGGACGGGCAGAGAGGGGCAGAGCTCACCTCCAGGATGCCTTTGTGCTTCCCCTCCTGGTCCTCGGGCACCACATGGCCCGTCAGGAAGATGTAACACTCCTGGCACACACGGTTCAGGCGGTTCCCATCGTACTGCAGCTCGGCCTTGTAGTCAGAGCAGCGAGCACACACCACCTACAACCACCAGACAGGGACACTGGTGAGACTGGGGCAGGGCTGGGGGATCCCAGGGACAACTTCATGTGGAGCTGAGGGGCAGAGGCAGCCCTGAGGCTGGGAAAAGGGGCACAAGGTGTAGGAGAGGTGCGCTCCTGCCCCAGCGGCCACCTGAGCAGGCCAGGAGGGAGGAAAGAGAGCGGGGAAGGGGCGACTCACATATCCACAAGCTCGACAGTGGTGTCTCCGGCGCATGATGGCGTTGAAGGGCTCCTTGCAGCGCATGCACATGGTCACCAGGTTGTCCCGCACCCACTGGGGGGCTCGGCGGCCCAGCTCCTCTGTCTGGAGGTGGGAGACAGCAGCTCTGGGGCTGGCTAGCCGTGGTCCGGGTGGTCCCAACCCCTCTGCTCTCACCTTTCTCCTCCCCAGCCCTTCCCCCTGTCTGCAGCCTTCCCCCACCAGCTCTGTTTAGCTAGGGAAACTGAGGCACAGCAAGGTGGGCTCTCCCTGAGCTTCTGTGAAGTGGGTGCTGGAGGCAGGCAAGGTGTGGGGAGGGCAGCAGGGTTACCTTCAATGCAGGGGTGCCCATCTCCAGCCCACGCACCGCCGTCTTAAAGGTCTCACTCCTCTTCTCCTTCCTGTCAATGGCATCTTGGAAGGCCTAGAGGGGAAGGCAGGGCACTGAGGCACAGCAAGGTGGGCTCTCCCTGAGCTTCTGTGAAGTGGGTGCTGGAGGCAGGCAAGGTGTGGGGAGGGCAGCAGGGTTACCTTCAATGCAGGGGTGCCCATCTCCAGCCCACGCACCGCCGTCTTAAAGGTCTCACTCCTCTTCTCCTTCCTGTCAATGGCATCTTGGAAGGCCTAGAGGGGAAGGCAGGGCTGGAGGGGCAGTCGGGGGGGCTGGCCCTGCCACAGGGCGGGGAATGAGACGCCCGC